ACTTGAAATCATCGTAATAATTATCATCATAATAATAGTCCTTGCCTTTGGTTTTATGAATCTCTCACACACATGATTATATTTGACCGTCACCAGGACTGTGTGAGGTAGGTGTTACGTAAGTCAGTTTTTCTTATGAAGGAAACTCCCTGATCAAACAGCAGAGGGATGGTGCTGTCAGACTTCAAACTCCTTATCTTCAGGGAGAGGAACTACTCATCTTTCCAGACCTGGCTTCAGCAACACCTCCTCTGAGTCTGATGGGCTCTCCTCAATCCCAGCCCATCCCAGGAGAAATTGCCCACATCGTCCTTTGGGGCTTCTCTGTACCCAGTACACACAGTGCTGAGGCAAGCAGAGAGCAGCAATCCCAAGCTGATGGCTTAAAGCTGCATTGACTCTAGACTTCAGATGTGTTCTGGTGTGTGTGAAAAGCTGGTGAGTCAGCCTGAATGAAGCCTAGCTGTGTAAGTCTGTGATGTCCCAGGAAAGGATTCATCCATAGAGAAGGACATGACGAGAGGAGGGAGAAAGATGCCAAGGCCATGGAGCAGTGGTGGGCAAGGACTACAGTGTACTCCGTTCACATCCCCTCTGACCCGGCCTCCTGGAGCCTAGAGCGAGGAGAGCACTGCAGTAACAACTTTCATAAAAATCAAGGTTGTTTCATTAGATCTCTCTAAGATTCAGAAAGCACACAGCAAGTCAGCGTGAGGAAGTTCACTCCATGGTTGACTGGAGGTATTACGGGGATGGGGGGCGGAAGGTAAAGTACCTTCCCCAACATGAGGATCCCGTTGGGACAGAATTGAGGCAAGTCTGGACAAGAGCTAGAGCAACAGGTCAGACCATTTGCTCTATCAAAAAGGAAAAGGACACTGCGTGCTGGCATCTTTCGACATTTTCAGCAGCATGGGCCCCTTTGTAGGGCAGGGATAGACCTCACCCAGGGAGGTGGAGCTGGAAAGAAGTAAATAGCAGCCTCACTGTCTAGGTTAATGGGGCTAGTTTGCAAATATGTTTACACCCCCTGGGAACTTCAGGAATGCTCAGAGAAGAATGTGAGCTGGTCTGGAGTTCTTACAACATGGGTGGGAGGGATCTGGCTTTACTTTAGGTTGACAAATAGGCCATTAGCCATCATGCTTTGATGATTAATTGGTCTTCTTGCCTCTCCATTAGATGGAACCCTTAGAGAGAAGAATAATTGTGTCATTCATCTCTGCATTCTTAGTATGTCAGTGACTGACTCCTAGGCCCCAAGTTCTTCTTGTCATCCCTCATTGCTTCTAGAAATGTACCACCTGATCTCACTTTGGAGATCCCAACCATACACACTCTCCTGGATTCTCTTAAGACTTACAGACACAATTGCGTTTGGTACCAGTTACCAAACGAGGTAGGCCTAATTCCCAGGTAGAGCAGGAAGGCTTTCAAGGTTCCCAGGAAAACTCTGCTTCTGGCATTACTGGTAAATCCTGACCTTCATTTCTTAGGTGTTGGTCCCTATTCTAATGCAAAAATCCCTAGGAAGATTAGCTCCTTAAACAGCTGTCTCTGATTCACACATGCTTGCACCTGTGCTTTAGTGGCTATCTTAAGAATAGTTTTTGGTAGGGGGTGCCTGGGTGGCTTAGTTGGTTAAGCATCTGCCTTACTTAGCTCAGGCCATGATTCAGGGGTCCTGGGATTGAGCCCCACATCAGGCTCCCTGCTCGGTGGGGAGTCTGCTTCTGCCCCTCCCTACTGACATACTCTCTCCCCCCCCAAAAAAGTAAACAGAATCTTAAAAAAAGAAGAATAGTTTTTGGTAACTGGAATGGCCTGAGGATTTGAGGAGGGAGAAAAGTGGGCAGCATGGCAAACCTGAAAAAGACAAACTTCACTGGCTTTTCAGCTGTGGTTGAGGCACAGTCCTGCGTAAGCTTCACTTTTTTCCCCTGTCCTCTTCCCTCTTTCCTGCATCTCCACCCAAATTCTGAGCTAAAAGGAAAAAAGTCTAAGGAAGTGAGAAAAGAACCAAGCACACAGCCACAAACTGCCTCTCCCTCAGTACCTGGTGCCTCAGAGTCACTGAAGTCTCTGAAAGGAAGGGATAGGCGTCTCTGCCCACACAATTGTTCTGCCAAATACCAAAGTTCAAAGTCCTTTAGGTACAGAGAGAATCAACAAGACATGGGGCTCACTGAGTAGGGCCTCTACTGGTATCTAACAGAGTATCCTAATGCTGACTTTCCTTTTGTAGGCAAACCCACTATGTGAGTGGTACCTATTTTAAATGAATCATATATTACTCATTACTTTTTAAATAGATGCTGAAGAAATGAGTTCTAAAGAGCTATAAGCCAGTCATTTGGTGGGGAGGACACTCCCAGGCCCATACAACACCCCTAAGGCCTCAGCAATCCCAGACTACAGAAGAAGCTGCCAACTCCCACAGTCTATGGGGATCAAGATGACTTGATCAACAGGATCCTTCTCTAATAAATCACCTAAAGGCAGAGATAAGGTACTCCATTCCCACATCACACACACACACACACACACACACACAGTCCTATGGCTTGAAACACCAGTTCAAACACCAACTCACACAAACAGATCAGACTCTGATGTTAGCTTTATGCTGTGGTGCTGGGGAGCAGCCTTTCACCTCTGAATACAGCCAGGTCCCTTCCATGCCTCTAGGATTTCACTTGACAACTTGGGGAGAATTCACAGCCTCCCCCACATAGTTGACCAGGAAAAAGCCAGCTAGGTGAATGGCGAATGGTTGCTTTCATTCTAATTGTTTTTCTTTCTTTTTTTCTTTTCTTTTCAGCTTGGCACAATGAGGTTTTGATGAAACAGAAAATAAAGGTTTGGGGAAATAAAAAGCTTGACTATTTCATTAAAACGCATCTAAGTGCTTACTCATTCGTATTTCAAAATACAACAAGGAATTATATATATATATCTTTTCAGCAATTTTAATAGGTGTGAAGCAATTGTCAATTGAAAAAAGCCCAATCACATATTCTTTTAAATGTTTTGACAGCTTCAGCTTGAAAGTCATTCCCTTTTTCCTGAAAATTTTCCTTTGTCTCTTCTTTACACCTTGCACATAGATACAGGAAGCCCAGGGTTCTCCTTCTAAGGACTCACGTGCTGGTGTCCTTTACCCTTTATACAGAGTATATGTGTTTAATTCTGTCCTTAAGACAAGTTATAAAATTAGGTGAGGGAGAGAAGTGACTAATCTCTAAATTTGGTTTAACTCTAACATTTGTTTTAGGTTTATAAGCATGAAACTAATTTACTAACAGAAGTAATGGTTAAAAGAGGATGAAGATCCAATGAAAAGAAGGATCATGTCTCCAGGAAGAGGCGACAATATGACTGAGGGAGAATGGGCCAAAGTCTTGTTGACATGCCTGTGTATTTTCAAAGACAAAAATTACACATTCACTTTTCAACAAACTCTGGGCTTTGTGCCCATTCTGTTTCCCAGATATCTCACGGTGTTCTTCTGAGAATAACCTTTAACAAAGATTGCTCTTTGCTCAAATACAGATTAAATGGGAACTCCTAATGAGGGATTTCATTGGCCTGCTTTGGTCCACTTTCTTAGCCATCTACTTTAATTTCTGAATCACATGGGCAAATGCTTCCAACAATAACTTGACAAATCTCTTACCTTTGCCTGCTTGTAAACTGACATCTGCTCTTTCAGCAATAGCCAGAGCCACTCTTCTTTTCCTGGAATGGTTTTCCCCGTCCTTTCTGCCAAACTTCATAGCTCTTGTACACATTACTAGAGTACCTTTTTTCTCTAAGTGCCATCTTACTAACACCCTGCCACCCCATGAAGTCATAGAATAAGAAAGAGGGAGACCTGGACGACTATCTATCAAGCCCTCATTGTACAGATGAGGAAACTGAGGTGTTCCTGTACTGGCCCAGGAACATTTGGTGTCCAGGGACTAGAAGCTTTCCAATGTACCACACGGTTTTCATATTCCACACTAGCAATTTCCAGAAAATTAAAGCTAATTTTAAAGGTGCCATTGAAAGTTGCTGTTTAAGGAAACCTACTAAATATTTCCATGAATTTCAAAAATATTTTACCTGTAAAAAAGAGTTGCTTAAAATAAAGTGTGTGTAACAAAATTGTCCTTCTGCAGGAGCTAGTTAGTAACTGTGTAGTTAAGTAATTCCTTGAATACCTGGGGCTGCTTCTGGGAAGTCGGCCAGTGCTGTTCAGGTAATTATGCCACTTGAGTTTCTAGTGATTACATTTATGACTTGATTATGAGGTTCTTAAGGACACAGAGGGAGGGTCTTGCCTCATTTGAGATTTCCCTAGTCCCCAGAATGATGCTGAAACTGTTTTTACTGTCCTTCCTAAATAAAGATGCTCTGTTTTGTCCATGTGTTACCACATGACACGCTGTCTCAGAGTAAAGAGGTTGAGGATCCCAACATTCTAGTAAGAAAGCTTAGAGAGGAGGTTGTTGGCAGTGTCTCCCAGAATTTTGCAACCCTGGCTGCGGGTGGGTTAAGGGTGAGGAGACAGAAGTGAGTCACCAGAAAACAAAAACTCAAGTCCCAAAAGGCAGTTATGTTGGCAAAAACTGGACAAGGCCTGCTTCATACATTTGGCGATCAACCTGTGTACCAAGTAAAGAATCCTTAGGTGTGAGCAAGTGCAGGCCATCCCGGGCCTCCGTTCCGTTCGCCAATTCTGCACCCTCCTCTGAGCCTACATTCTAGGTACTAGACTTTCACGTAGCCATCTCTGCTCATCTGCGGGAAGTAAATCTCAGGGTGGGAATGCAGACTTCGCTAACTCATAAAAGAACAAGACTTTCACCTTTCTTCCCATTCCTCAGTGGCTCCAACCCCGTTCTGCAAACGCCCCCCGAGGAGCCCCACACTGCCTCTGCTAAGAAGGCGCCCAAACGCTCTTGGTAAAACTACTGACAAGGAGGAGGAGGAGCGAGAGCAGGACGTGAACCCACCTCGGCCAGGGAACAGGGCTGCAGAAACGCGCAGGACGGTGGAAAGTTTTTCTCCCCGGCTTCTAATTCCCCCTTGTATGATGATAGGGAGCTGTAGAAGACGCAAAGACGTCCTTTTAAATCTTGCTTTGGATCCTGGGTGGGGTCGGCGTGCGTGTGTGTACACGAACGGACGGGGGAAGCAGCAGGGCGAGGAGGGTGGCGCCGGAGCCTCTGTGCAGTTGGGACCGCGCCCTGTTTCTCCCGGGAGGCCCCTCCCGCCTGGACCTGCCTCTGGAGTGGGCGCCGCGGGCGGGCCCTGCCTGGGAAAGGAGAGGGCCTGCAGACCCGAGCCCCCACACGCAGCGGCCGCGAGGACACAGCCTCCGGGGACCTCGGGCCTTGGGACACCGGCCCCTGCTTCCGGGAGCGTGGCGGTCTCTCCGAGGTGTCCGCTGGCGGAGTCCAGGCAGTTTCTCCCCGCACAGCTCTTCAGCCCCCTCTGGCACGCGTTGGTTCAGCGCACCTCTCTTGTGCAGAACTGTCGGAAAGCGAGAAAGTTTGTACAGAATTGAACTTTTGCACAGTTTCGAAGGAAGGAAAAAAAAAATCAAAAGCTAGGGCTCGTCCGGGATTTGAACCCGGGACCTCTCGCACCCAAAGCGAGAATCATACCCCTAGACCAACGAGCCACAGCCATGGAAACTGCCTGTGTTTCCTCTAAACAGTACTTTCCCGTTTGCAGTTGGCCGCCAGGCCACTCCGGAGCTCTGTTCCACCTTGTGTCATTTACTTCTTGCCTTGCTTCACTTTCTCCCATCTTCATGAAGTCTCACTCTTTTGAAGCCTGACTCGGGTCCTAGCCTCGCTTATTCTCCCCGATCCACATCCTGAACCCCTCCAGAGGCCGGATGGGGTGAGGAGGGGCAGTTTCCAGACCGCAGGCCGCGTGGGTGAGCTCCACCGCGCACCCCGGGACCACTCTAGGCGCGAGCTCGAGCCTAGCGGGGGGCCAGGGGGACCTGGCGGGGGCCTGGCAGGAAGGCGGCTTAAGTGCGAGGACCCGAGCGGAGCTCGCTTGCGAGGCTGGAGGGTCCTGAGCCCCAGGCTGGACACGCGGGAAGCGTGTCAGGCTGCTACTACGTCGCGCGAGCCTAACATCTTAGGGGCGGGAAATGGTGGGCATCAAAATACCGGGAGCGGGAATCGGTGGGAGGTGCGCCAGTCTGGCGTGTGTTCGGATTGTCCAGGCCCCTGAAGGAGAATCAATTGTTCTATCTCCCCACCTTTGTTTCACTTGTTTTTCGGTCTGGAATTCTTTCTCGCAGTCTCAGCCCAACTCGTGTCAAATCCTGTTGCCCTTTCCTGTTCTGTCTCAAAATCTTTTTTTGTAGAACTATAAATATGTGTAAAAAATAAACTAAAACTGCCGTATAATGGATGTGTACGGAGGGGTGCGGACGCTCGGGACGAGGGTCCCAGTTTCGGCGATTTCTTCCGCAAACTGGAGCCCCCAGGCCGCATGGCGCAGACATGCGCCCACAGCGTTTATGCATAACTTTATCAACGAGAGGTGTCGGGTCTCCGAACCGTGGACTTCAGGCAGCAATCGAGGATCAACTAGAAGCCAAAAGAAACATCTGAGGGAATAACGTAGGATTCTTCCAATTGGCTGACAAAGTTGGCGCACACTCGCCTCCTCGCTATATAAGAAACTGTGCCCAACGGGATCCATTTGTTCACACGTGCTTGGCGAGCTCAAACGTTTTCTTTGGGACGGGAATGAGGCTGGAAAAGTCGACTCTAGAAGACAAAGAGCCGCGGAGGAAACAAGAGGGCAACGGCTCCCTGGATGATTGCAAGCCCCAAAACGGCAGCTCCTCCTTCGAGCCGGATTCGAACCAGCGACCTAAGGATGACTACACAGGAAGCGCACTACAGTCCTCCGCTCTACCAGCTGAGCTACCGAAGGGAGCACGGAAAGTGCCTCTCTAGAGTCACCTATTCAGGACATCTACAAATAGAGGCGTGTGAGAAACGATCTTCTGCCGGCGGTTGGACATCGCAGAGTCACAAAGCCAGCTTGTGAGAAAGTCCCGCCCGCAGTTCTAGGGACAACCCTTCTAGAGCTGGATTCCCCTACTCCACCGAGGGGAGGGGGGGCCAATCCGTGGGCTCCTCACAGGGACCCCGAGACCCCGTGCATCACGAGGCCGCCCAGGGCGGGGGCATCTGCTCGCCCGGGGGCCGTTGGCTTCAGGAGCGCGCGGCCGGGGACCTCCCAACGTGATGATGTGTGTGGAGTGGAAGCCGCCACCCGGGCCTCGAAGAACTAGGGTGTGCGGCGGTGGGATACACAGTTCCTCCCACGCAGCCCCGCGCCAGGCAGAGAGGGCTGGGCCTCCCGGCTCTGGCTCGCGCCTCTTCGCATTTCCTCACTTCCTGTGCTCGCCTCGGAATTCAGGCGCGTCTGCACAGTGTTCCGAACCGCAACTCTCTTCTGTTTACACGTCCACAGACTCGGGGAGGGAGAGGATGTGGAATATAGCACATATGGGTAACCCCAATGTTTCTGAAAGGACTTCTGGAGAAAATATCTTCAGGTTTTTCAAAAAGGAAGCCACAATTCTTCTGAGTCAATAACATAGTGACCCAAGTGTCGACTTTCGTTTTCTCGCTGGGATAGTGAAGTGTTCGAAAACTCGCTGAAAAAGGAAACCTTGCTAGACAGCCTACTCTCTCCCGAGCGCCTCCTCCCCTTTGGGGAGTGGAGCTTGTTCTGGGTTCCAAGCCTGTGCGGAGCGGGGCACTGGGCTCGACTCCATGGTCTTCCCCCACCGCCCTCGGCCCGGCTCGGGCTCCGGCGGCCCTCGGGAAGGGCTCTCGCGGCGGGTCGGCACAGCCCGGGCGTCGGCGGAGGCAGGCGGCGCTTCCCGCAGTTTGTAATGGACTCTGCCACAATCCAGGCAGCAGAGCCGCACTTGCGCAGTAGCGCGTAAGAAGAAGCGGGTCTGCTTAGCGTGGTTTATTCGGGTAGTCGGGACTGCGGCGAGACTATACGAGAACCGAATTACCGCAGGGGTTAGGGTTACTGGAAGGGGGGTTATCCAGTAAGGGTTTAAAACGGTAAGAAATAGATGGAAGGCCCCAGCGAGATTTGAACTCGCGACCCCTGGTTTACAAGACCAGTGCTCTAACCCCTGAGCTATAGGGCCTCGCGAACGATTATCTTGCTTCTTTCTTTGAAAAGGCAAGTTTTTATGCTGGGCCTTTGTTAGAGGAATTAAGTATAAGAAGTAAACAAAATCCGAACTTCGTTTCAATCTATTTACTCTTGGAATTTGGTCTGCAGGCCCTTGCTAGGGATAACGCAATATGAGGGCCAGTGATAACAGCCACCACTATTTTAAGATTGGAGAACTCTGCCTAACCCAACACGTTATAACACAGAGTCCACCTCACCCCTCCCTCCGCCCCCGGCCGCAGTCTAAAAATTAAGAGAGACGCGGCGTAGAGGAAGTTGACTACCACAGGTCTCTCAGCTGAAACTGGGCCTTCCCACTGATTTTCTCCTTGACTCAGGATTGCCACCGACTTTCAACTTCCTTCAAGTTCCTTATGTGTAGGGACCTTTCTTACAGCTCGAGTCTCTGCGCCAGAGCAAGCATTTGTTAATTCGTTATTTAATTCATTCGTTCGTGCAACAAACACTGAACTCCCAATTCTGTGCTGGGCTGTACACTAGGAACAAGGCATCAGATACGGTCTTTAACTTGAAGTCCCTGTCATAGTCTTGTGGACTAAGAGAACTTTAGTTTTTATGAAAGAGAACAGTGAAAAGTAGCTGTGCCTGCTGTGAGGGGCTGGTGGACAGAGCCAACCTTCGCAGATTTGCAATGTGAGCCTTCACAGAGGCAGTCCTTCAGGTGGGGGTGGGGTTTGAGCTGCACTTGAGAGTTTGGGGGCCGAGTGATCTCTGGTAGAAGAAAATGTATGAGCAGAGTCTGAAAGAAAAACCGAGGCTTAAGGAGCCGAGGCAGAACACCAGCTGGGGCAGATATCTGCCCTTCTGGAAATAAGGGAAGGTAAGAAGTCAGGTTAATAGGGGACTGAGAGATTTCTGGAATGAAGTTGCACCCTTTAAAAAATTGCAACTGGACATTGAACACTACATCAGAACTCTATGTACTCTATGTTGGCTAATTGAATTTAAATTTTTTAAAAAATTGAAAATGGAACTCACCAGGCATGGATATGCAGAATGAATTGAAGGGAAGAGAAACCAGTCAGAGATACATCAGAGATTAGCCATGGTGCGGACGCTCAAATAAAGCTGCAAGAGGGTCAAGTTATGGACCTGGAAAGGAAGGAAGGAATGAGGAAACTAGAGGGGAGGCAGATTTGGCTGAAGTTAGATATGAATAAAGAGTAAGTAAGAGATAATAAAGATGAAAGAGTCAGGGAGGACTCTCAAATATTATACCTTGAAAAAGAAAGATGATGTTTGCAGGAAAAAAAAAAGGAGGTCTAAAGGAGAGATGGGTACCTGAAAAAGGCAGAAGATGAAGGGCAAGGACTTAGGTAGGCTGGATTTGAAGTGAGATTGGGGGAGTTTATGGGAATTGTGCAATAGCTAGAATACTCTTGTGTCTAGAAGTCCATAAGATTGGTAAATCATGGTTAGATCAAATTACATAAATTATCCATTGAGTTAGAGCCTCTAAGAGTTAGGGGTGCTTGAAGGAAGAGAGTACAAATGGAAAACTGCTGAGGCCTGAACATGAGCTGAATAGCTCTGTTGTGGGCATTTGTCCTATGAGTGGATGTCCAATATTTTTTGAATATTGTCCTTACATTTGGTAATTTCACATATTATAAGTAAGCCTGTCCTAGAAAATTTGCTTTCCCAGCTAGCAGCTGGGAGTGGGCATGTGACCTAGGTTCCACCAGTTAGATTCATCCAGGGAAGATTTCAATTTAGATGTATAAAACAGGAGTGAATGATACCATAGGGAAATCCCATATTTTTTCAGTGGTGAGATATGGGATTTCTTAAATTTGTAGATCATTGTCTTTCTTCAGGTCTGGAAAATTCTTGGTCAGCTTTTCAAGTGTTGTTTTGCTTTATTTTTCTTTCTCCATTTATGAAACTGGAGTTAAACCTTCATACCTTGCCCTTCATTTCTTTTACCTTCTCTTCCGTATTTTCTTTTTGTCTTTCCATGCTGCATTCTGAATAACATATTCTTAATCCAGTAATGCTTGCTACAGGTAGGTTTAAATCAGCTGTTAAATCCACCCACTGAGTCAATGTAATTATAAACTGTAATTTTCAATTCTAGAAGTTCTGATTCTTTTTCAAAACTATGAAGCCAACATTTTTTCCAGTTTTATTGAGATATAATTGACATACATCCCTG